CCCCAAAACCCCAAAACCCCTCTCTACTTTTCTTTAAACTAAATAGAAATTATAATTAGTTTAAATAAATTGATCAATTAATCAATCCTTATATTTATATATTAAGTTATTTGAACCCTTCATAATCAATGCAGAGATATTCTAATTTGCTCAATCTATTAGATGATTTATTAAAGTCTTATCTCCTTGTCACCTTCAAGCCCAAAGTTTAATATTGTTTATTGAATCTGCTCTATCAGTGCGTCTAACTCTTATTCCCTTTCCTGCTTAAACTTAATAAATTCATTCAAAACTTCAAGCATTCTATTTATTGCTTCATTATTCTTCAGATCTGATTCACCATTAGCTATCTAGTTTTATTGATATATATTGCTGATTTAAATTTCTAGTTCTTATAATCTATCCTCCTTGCTTTATATTTAATCTTATTACATATTTATTTCATTCTCAAGCTCTTACAATTATAATTAGTTTTTATCTATTTCATTTTACTCTTGCTTTACTCTATCTAAAAATTTTTATTGCGCTTCTTAAGATCATTTCTCAATTAATTTCTTTGCTTTTTAAACTTCAAGGTCATTTTTCTATAACTAAAGATTCTAGTCCTGAATAATTTACTCATTTGATTTTTCATAGTTTTACAAGATCTATTAATGATAAGTTTGCTTATCATCATTCATTTGCTAAATATTCTTTTTTCCTATCCCATTTATTACTTTACTTTTGATGCTATCTAATAATAAGATTAAGCTATAGTTTGAAGAACAATCCTAAAAGAAATCCTAATTAGTAGCATCTTTATTTGATCCATTTATAATCATCGAAAAATCATTCCAAAATCTCAAATCTGTACCTAATGTGAGGAAATACATAGAGAATTATTCACATTTCTATGATATTAGTTCTTTGATATTTATCTACTATTTATTTATCAATTATTTTAAATTTTGATTAGAACTTTCTCCAATAACCAAGGATAAAACCTATCCTTACTTGTTCTTAAGCTTGCCCATATATTCAGTTAGAAAATTAACTGTTAATAAATAATCAGGTGGGTCTGAATTTCTTAATGTCCAACAACAATTACTATTATTATCAAAAGTTTAAAATTTAGACAAACTGTATTTTATTATATTTTTCTTTTCAAGTAAGATCAATTTTGCACGTTTCGGATTCAAATCTTTGTAAAAGTTTTTTAAAATCTCGACAAGCTACCCATTTCTCAACTAAGCAATTGATTTTCTATTTGTGTTCTCAAGAAATATCAAAAGGTGCAAATTATTATCAGAGATTTCAATCTAATTTTCATTTTAAATTAAATTTTCATTACTTTTGTTTGAACCCATATCTATGACATAATCATTCTAAACTTCTTCCATTATTTAAATTTCTTATTGCTGATCATATTTCTAGATAATAACCTCTTAACCTTCCATATCTAACTTTATTTATTCAATCTAAATTTGATTATTTGCTTACAGCCTTAAGATTCCCTAAATGTGCTAAAATTTCATTGAAATTTCATTTAAATGATATTTTTCTTAAAATAATTAAGTTTGGAGATTAACTTTTTCTTCCTCTAATTGAACTAAATCTAAATTAATTTAACTTTTCTAAATTATCCTAGCACTCAACTATTCTTTTATTTTCAAATATTCTAATGAGTTATGATTTATTTTAAGGTTTTCGTAATATTAGGAAATTTTTTATTTGTATTGTTGTTGATTTTATGGAAGGTCTTCATAAAATTATTAAAAATTTTAGATAAAAGCGATTGTGTTACTTAGTGCCTCTTTTAATAATATGATATTCTTTTTATCATCTTCAAAAAGATGAAAGCACTATTAAGCTTCATCTTAAGTAGTCAATTGTTTACTTGAATTAAATATACAATTGTTAAATTGGTCATAAATTTGTTTCTCTTTTAATAAGTTTTGCATTTTATAATTTATAATTGATCAAAATGTTGTTTATTAGTTATTGAGGGGTTTTGGGGTTTTGGGGTTTTGGGG